TAGTTAAAACTTTAACTGATTGAATGAAGGCTCAGTTAGACGGTGGGTAACGTAAGAAATTAATTCGAAGCGAAATGCACAACCAACCAAATCTGCGTATTTCATACCAACGAAATAAACAAAAACGGTGTACTTTGTTTATTTCGTTTCTATCAAACACACAAGTTTGGTTGATTGTGCATTTCGCTTTGAATTAATTTCTTACGTTACCTGCCGTCTAACTGAGCCTTGAACCACGTAACTCGTTACCGCGACAGACATATGCCGGAAATCATACTAAAAAAATAACTCCCATGAAATTATCTACCAAGTTATAATAAAAAAATTCCATTCTAATAATATCTTTGTCTTGTGTTATCATTTTAAGTTCTCAAGCAGTTAAAAAAACACTCAATACCTTCGATTTCTTTCACCAATACACATACAAATCGTTTGAGCAGGGCTTCAATAGCGCCATAATCAGATTCATTAAAGATTTCCTACATACAGCTTCTCTATTTGAACATTTCTTTTTATAACAATATATAATTACAACCAATATTTTGGATGAATTGCTTATAGACGTCACTGAAAACTTCTTTAAATAGCGCATAAAATTTGCCCAATTATATAAAAATTTCTCATTATAAATCTTTGCAAAACAAAAAATCCTTATCAGTTAAATCTACACAATTACTGTTATATATACATATTTATCAGATATAGTTGTAAAATTTATGCATTTTTATAGACATAAAGTCTTTTTTGTGTACTGCAATGATAAGGATTGTCAAACATAATCAAGAGCGTGTTTAGTAAGTACTATGTGACACAAAAGGTAGTTAAAATCCTCAAATAAAAACTGTCACGTGCCATTGAATTTGCTATGTGGTGACAAGTAAAGAGATATACATTTGACATCGTAGATAAATGAGTCAACATCTTACATGTAACCTTATTGCTTTTGCTGTGATGTACACTCAGCCCATAAATACTATTAGTAATGTATGCAGTAAATAGAAAAGGGTGTAAATAACTACAAATGAAATACATTCATAATATATATTTTGTATAAATATAATATTTGTTGAATATAACATAACGTATATTAAAAATCTGCAAAATTACACTGTATTGTATTATAAATAAATAGAAATTATAGTTTTTAAAATGTAACAGCTAAATACTTTAAGTTAGACTTATTAAGAAGTAATCGTTTTGTAGCAGATGGTTATGTGCTTGATATGTGATGGATATGTGATAGATGTGTATCAAATGTCATAGATGTCAAATAGATATACATTCTAAATACGCAACGAGCGATCACTAGTGCACCATTATGAACTGGGCCTTATTAAAAATATCTATGTTTATAACACAACTTTTATTTCTACGCTCATATTAAGTCATATATCAAATATCATTGACTTTACAGCCCTACAGGAATAATGTACTTCAAAACGTAAAATCAAATAAACATTGGATTTAGGCTTATCTGGTACCTTTGAAGTCGGAATTTTGGCGTTAGACCATATTGAAAATATCACGTTACCAAATACAATGTTGCAAAGGAAGTTTTTGTCCTCCGAATATACAATTCTGTAAAATTTTTAGGCCGTAAGTCAACCAATGTGGACCAACTTTGATCAAAGTACGACAAATCTATATTTTTGATATGTTCAAATCCAATTCTAAGAATTTCAATACAAATTTGGTATTATCTTTGATGAATTTACGCACAATTCTGAAGACAGTTTTTAAGCCAAATATGCCAATCATCATTATCATAAATTGGTGGATCAGCTGAATCGTTTCGGTAAAAGTTTTTGGGTACCGATAACAAAATCATATTGTAATTTTGAGTGTAACAATTTCTCTTTGCCCAATTTCATTTTACAGTATGTCAGTAAAAATCAGTAAAAAGTTTACTTTTGTTTTTAAATTTCTATATTTTTTGTAAAAAAAATCATAAACGATGATATAAAGTGGTCGTCATGGATTATCATTTGCTGTTAGCATTCAGTAAATTACATTCAGGCTTATGTACGAGTACCACAAAGGTGCATGCACACCAAAGCAGACGCTTGCGAATGAACGAACTTTTACAGGCATACGCTTTGGTTTGGATGCACCATAGGCTACCATAACACTTCAACAAGCTAGCACTTCGTGGTCCGTTTATAGTATTTAACGCTTATGTAAAATATAATGTAAAGATAAAGCCCAATGTTTACTGATAAAGCTCATATATTTACTGATCTAGACAGTGATGCCAAGTAATTCTTACACAATTAGAAGTTGTTCTATTGGAGCATTGATGTCAAAAATATACATCTATTATTATAGATCTATTCAATTTTTACCTAAATAGCTCGTTCAGCTGATTACTATAAATGTAAGTAGTATTGTAGCTGCCAAAATCAAAGATTCGGACCAAATCATATTCGGGTTAACTGTTTCTACTCCGAATATGGTTCGGAATAAATGCAAATATTAACCCAAGGAGAGACTTGTCTGATGTTACACAGTGGTTCAAAAGGCAGTTTCATTGCCCAATAAGCAAAATTTTTAATACGAGTACAACCTTTTGTAAATATCCAATTAGACCAAATTTTATTAATTAGACCAATTTATTTTTAAGACTTATAAATTAAATTATTATTTAATTATAATAAATTATTTTTTATTATTTAATTTTATGCAATTTTGACAACAAAAATCTTTCACTATACATAAGCGACTTAAACTTTTTTTTATTAATATTTGCTATTCAATTGAATAATTTTGGATAAAATTTCATAAAATAGTTTTGTTTTTTTATTTGTTTAAAGAAAAATATTTTATTATTTAGTCAATCAAGCCCTAATCGTTTCCAAATTTGACAAGCCTACACCTTTTGAAACTCAGAACAGATATCAGATCAGATATAACAATATATACTTTTTTGCTGAAAATGTATATTATCTGCCATTTCATTTTCGTTTCTATTACAGCCTTGTTAGGCTCACAAAAGTAAATTAGAATTTTGTTTATAAGATCAGATTGCTTCTAAAACTTAACAAAACGTATTCATTATTTGAAAGAGAATAAATGGATCTTAATTTTCTACTTTAAATAATTAATATTAAATTAATATTAAATATGTTATTACTATGTATACACAAATATTTGTAATTAAAATCATTCCTTCTTATTGGTAAATTTCATTTAAAATGCATATGTTTGATAAATAGTTATGAAATAAAAAACTTAAATAAAAATAGATATTAGATTAAATAAACAAATATAGTGCCTCTTTTAATAGACTAACAAAATTATATTTTTATCTACTTAGAATAAAATATATGTTATAACCGTTTTATATTATTTTTAAACATGTAAAAGAAATTCACTTATTTTTTGTGAATTAAAACTAAAAGAATAACATGAATACAAATATACTATATTTATTTAATGTGAGATGGTGAGTTTGGCATTGGAGTTCTGTACTAAGTGATACTTTAATCATATAATCACGAAGATTATCAGGAATACTCAAATTAGTCAGTGAGATAGGCGGAACTCTGCAGAATCCCCCCAACTCGGAAAAGGCTTAACATAATAACTATAATTGGACAATTTCTAAATTTTTTATTTCAACGAGTATGAAACAAAAGTTTCGTAATTTAACAATCAATCCTTAGCCGGGGTGTTATTTCTTTTATCATAAAGCGTATCAATTTTCACATGTTTTCGGGAAAAAGTTGACCTTTTGATTAAAAACAAGCGGTTGAAAGAATATTTTAAACAAATTGCAAAACATTTTTAGAAAAAAATTTCTCCTCCGTTTAATAAAGCAATAAATTCAGTGTTAGGCTTAAAAATGTCTGTAAAATGCCTCCATATAAATATTTCGATTGTTAAATCTTACAACTTGTGATAAAAGCTTGTGATAAAAGCTCTTTAAGAACACTTTGGATAATTTACAAGCTTTTTGTTAGGCAGTAAACAGCACTGGTAAATTAAAATTTTTGAAAGTAAAAACAGTACAAAATTAAAAATAAATAATTCGAACAATTTTATTTATATCATTTATATTAATCTGATTATTCATTTTGTATTATTAATCACACTAAAAATTATTATTTACTATACATTTTTTGCTCATAGTTCTGTCAAACAGTTGAAAAGATGTTCCGTAATACGATATATTGTACACTTTTCATCAAATGTAATAATACGGTCTTTTTTTTGCTTATTCCATACACAAACCGTTTGCTTGAAATAATACGGTCTCAGTTAGATATATTTAATAACTTAACTTTAATAACTTTTATTTTTCATTTTTTAAGAATATTTAACTTATTTTGCAAAACAAAACAAAAATAGAGCAGAGTATATTTTCTGTTATACGATATCCAAAGCAATATCGTCCGCGTCTAGTTATTAGTAGTTCGTTGATTGTTGGTTATAATAAGAAGAAAAAGTGTTTTGCCTTAAATTGTACCTTTAGCCATCCAAGTGCTGTTGCATTAAAAAAAATATATCTTTTAAAAGCTTTTTTTATATACAATATATACAAAACCGAATATAACTTCTTCTGTTTTAAAGGTTTTCTCCTAGTTTGAGTAGTGAACAATTTCCGTAAAAATTAAGGAGGAGGCCAAAGACAATAATTTCTGGTGTCTTTAGGTTAAATAATAAAAGGCGGATAAGACGCAGTTTATTTGTATTTGTATTCTATTTATTTGTATTCTATCCCCAAAGTAGATTTACTATTTTATTCTCTTGAACTTCATTCCTATTTAAATTTGTTTTATTAAAACATCTTCTGCATTTTAAATGAAAATGTCTATAACCACGTTTGCTTTGTCATGATTTGTACTGTTGCGGTAGGCCCAGTACGTGGGCCGGCTCGCAAACAATTAAATTTATAAATAAGAAGAGATTTAGTTGTAGCGTCAACATTCATTGATTGCGACGGCATCGTCGCAATAGTTATGTCATTCGCCACACTCGTCTTAACCATCGAACAGCTTAAAATGTCTTTAGTGCACGCAAATAAGCAGCGCTACATCGAGGAGCAAGGCCGGTTAATTGACGTACCTTCCCATCTTCCGAAAGGGGGAGTAATGTGACGTCAACATTCATAAATCGCAGCAACTATAAATTGAATTCAAAATAGTTGACATTAGAAAATTTACTTAGAGATTAAAGTAAGAAGAGATACGTTTCGAGTTTTCGGCTCCATAAATTGTCAGAATAAAATAAAATAAATTCTGCATAGTATATATTGCATTTGTGGTTTTTACTCTGCTTTAGAAGAGTACAAATATAAGCCACAGACAGCTCCTATATAGTGTTGTGATTTTCTATTTCTTTATGATTAGGCAAAACTTGCAATGCCTAAAAATATTAGTGGAGTTCTTCTAACAGAAAACTAACTATTATTCCCAATTATCCCTATCCACTAATAAGAAGGTTTAACTTTAGTGTCAACAATTGGCTACCAATAAATTACTTGTTAGAATTTCTAACTTTGGAGCGAATAATTTGGCAACTAACAATTTACTAATTAGAATTTTTAATTTTGATGTCAACGATTTGGGTACTAACTATCTATTAATTTGATAAATAAAAAAAATTATTATGAAAAAAATCTATTTGTATTTAAACTTGTGCTGTTAGAATGTTCTGCCCTAATGTACATACGGAATAGACTTCTCCGAATTTATATCCTTACGAAAGAGACAATAAAACTCTGTAAAGTAGGCTCTGTAGTACTCTTTATCGAAGCAACAGGCCTTAAAGACATACTATAAATACTAAAGAAGAACGCCCTCATATTAATGTGAAAGCAGTATCTAAGGCTCCGCCATCTCCCATAAAAGAAAACAAAACACAAAGAGGCTTTGTCGTTCGCTAGACTGATGGATTCTTAGTTCTTTAGTTCCAAAATGGTTAACTATTTTATTAATATCTAAAATATATTTCAGTCAAAAAACCTTCTTCAAAATACCAAATTACAACTTCTTCCATACAATATATCCCGACGGTGATGCACATAAAAAAAATAAAATTCTAATTCGTAGTAAAATTATGTATTGCTTAGCCGAACAGTTTAATTCCGAAGAGATTCAGATAATGAACAAATTACTAAATGATTGAATAGATGCTTTACTAATCACTGTTACCTACCTAACCACAGAGTTCAAAAAGAATCTTACAAAAATTTTATTGAATGATTTGGAAACAGATATAAGCAAGGAGAGACTTTAATTTCGACAATACGGCTCTAAGTCGATCGACGAACAAGACTGATTTTTAAAATCGTCTTCTAATTTCAGACTATGAATCGATGTGCTTAATAGTGTTTAGATTCAACTACTTGTTCCCCTATTCGTGTGTAGGGAAAACCCTTAAACCACGAGCAGTGCAGTTTAGTCACGGAATAACTTTTCAATAACAACGCGGCGATATTTTGGCTTTTCCCTAATAGTAAATGCTGGCTGGATAAAAACATAAATTTTTAAATAGTATTTTAATGTTTGAGATGTATGTGTAATAATTTTTATAGCAAGTGTGGAAAGCGCAGTTCACGAGACTTGCACAAAACATGTTAGGCAATTTTTGGTTTTAAATTAAACTTGATTCCAAACGAATAACAATAAAAAAACGGGATCAAGTGAGATAAGTTTCATAGAATTACACTAAGAATAGTAATTGCGGTTAATAAGATATTTGGCGGTTGTTAATGTTGGCTGAGGATATATCCATGTCTATACAGCACTTAAATCACAATTATGCTTCATACCAACAATCGAACATTTTAAATTCATAAAAATTAAATTATATAATGTTTATAATAAAAAGCTTATATTAAAACAAAATTTTTAGAGCATGATGAACATCATTCTGATGAAATAAAATCAGGAGAAGGCGAGCTATCCAATGAAGATAGCCTTAATTTAAGTCCACATGATGAAGACCAGGCTCGACTTATTTTAAAACGTAAATTACAAAGGAATCGTACCTCTTTCACAAACGAGCAAATAGATTGCTTAGAAAAGGGTAAAATATTTTATAATTTTAATAAGCAATATTTCCAATATTCAAAAAATTATTAGTTCTATTTTTGGTTTAGTAAATATTTGTGCTATTATTTCGAAATAGTTATCCTAATATATCCTATGCCTTTGTTGATTGATTCTTTTGCATATATAACAACAAGTAGAATTCGAGCGCACACATTATCCAGATGTTTTTGCCCGCGAGAGATTAGCAAGCAAAATTGGTTTGCCTGAAGCCCGTATACAAGTTTGGTTTTCCAACCGACGTGCCAAATGGCGACGTGAGGAAAAACTTCGTAATCAGCGAAATACGCCAAATACAACGAACGCTAATTTACTTACATCAACATCAACATTATGTGAAAGTTCAAATAGTTTAGGGGCGAATTCAACAACAATAACTACCTGTAATGGCAGTAAGTTTATTATTAAAAACACTAAAATTAGAAAGAACTATTTTGAAAAAATTTTTGAGTTTTAGTTCTGTATAAAAATCATGATTATAAATAATACAAACATTATAAAATTGCTTATCTTTCAGATTCGACGTCAGATATTGTATCTCCATCACCACTTATAAGTTTGACGCGTTCCTCATCAGCTCTTGGCGGATCTGTAGCGAACTGTTCTCCATCGACAGGTACACCTGATAACTTGCAAAACTCTACAGGAAGCAGTAGTAATAATAGTAATTCAGCTGAAATTTCTGTGAGTTCAGAAAAACCGTCTGGGAGCACAACTTTATTGGGTATTGGTAATGTTAACAGTACTATACACTCCGCCACTCAAACTAGTGTAAATAGTTCGCTGCTGCCTCCTCTTTCACCGCATTTAAACTTTAATAGCAATTTTGGAAGTACAATTAATTCATTATATCCTTCAATGCATCATCATACGATGGCTGTATCGGACACCTATAAGTAAGTGCAAGAGTAATATGAAAATCAAATTAATAAACTTGTATAAGTGGGTATTCTTTTTTTTTTGTTTTTCTGAAGAAGTGGAATGTTTTATGCACCGTCAGATCGTCGTTGGAATGGTGTGCCTTTTTCCCTAAGATTAATATATAGTATACGAACAAAAACACTTCCTCTTCGGCGAAACTTATTCCCTAACGGAACCGCGTTCGTAGTACTTCGAGGAGGGTCTGTTTTATGTTGGCATTTCAAGCCATGCTCTTGTGATTTTCGATCTGTATCCAGACCTCTACTTTTTCACTGCAGTTTCTTGGTGTCAGTCTAGTTTCTGGTTCTCCTTTCTAGGTCTAATTTCTTCGCTTTAAGGACATGCATCACATATGACACTAGCCAGTTCTCTGCATTTGCTCTCATATTTTATATATGCGGGTATTAAGTTGAATCATTTATTATGACAAATAAAATGACAATAAAATGTCATTTTTTTGCAAATATTTGTTTCATGGATGTATTCGACTGGTTCATTTTGCTACCAAGTTTACTATATTCGGAATTACAAATTAAAATAAGATTTTCCCATATTATTAGCGATCCTCTCACAACTTATTAAGTATCAAAAAAGTTTTAAATAAATTTAGAAAAAATTAAATATAAGTCATCTAGGTTTTTAGTACATGTTAGTAACACATTTTTTCTGAAACATTTGGCAAATTTGGAAAGTTCTTCTAATATTAACAGGTACTTTATTAAATTAAAACAACGTCTAAATCTAAAGTTGTAAAGGTTAACAAATTTATATGGGGTGTATTTGTCACCATTCCCAAGGTTTTTAATTGTAAGCTTTGCAGCGTTTTAACAAACGATTATATTATTAGTTTTTAATATTATTATCACATTATTATTATATTATTATTATTATATTATATTATTATTATTATTTTTATATCATTATTATTGTTATATTTTCTAAAAAGAAACTTTAAAAGGGCCTGAGGGAAAGGACCTGAGGGAAGGGCCTGAGAAGTGTGAGAAAGTTCTATCCACTTTGTTCTAGTATAATTTCAGTGCTTATAAGTTATGGTTTATGGGACTGTTTTAATTAAAAATCCAAGTGTATTAGTTGTTATATTTTGTGAAAGCAGAAATGTGATAAAAATCGTCAAATTTCAATTACGAAAGTGTGAAAAGTATGAATTCAGATAAAATACCCGAAGTCATTGCTTCTTGCTTTAAATTCAACCTTTTAAGTCTAGCATGTTGCCCAACAACTATAAGCGGTCTTACAAAATCAATGAAAATTTTCAAACAACACGCCTTTAATAGACGTGACAAGCTGTTAGCTTGCTATTATGAAGTACTTAAAAGATGCCTTCAAATTTCTATTCTAATTTGATATCAAATGCAAAATGAATTATGCTAGTTACTAAGTGATACGCATAACTTCATCTTTTTCTGCTTTGGAATTGTAGGGGTTGCCCAAATTCATTGGACAGAGTGGGTATAGAATCCAGCGTATGTAATTTATTATTCCCAGAGCAATATCGTACATCTTTTAAATATTTTTTAACTGTAATGTCGAGCGGTAATAGCGAGTCCTGATTTTTATTATACCTATAATTTATACACAATATTTTACAATTGTCTTCATTGTATTGCACTTACTAGCCGACAATCTTCAACCTCCCATTGGTGTTTTTATCATTTTCACTGTCAGCAAAGACAAAATTTAGCATGTCATCTGAGTACGCTTCTTCGTACAGAGTCTTCCTATTCGTCTACAGAGGACAGACGAACAATTGCAAAAACGTGTCAAAAGATTTGTGAGGTTTGCTGGACCTGGGATGGTTTACTGAATTATGTGCTGGGAGTTTCGATGTCAAAGATGATCGTTGTTCTAGTTGATCAGTTACTAAAAAAGGCGATAAAATTTTGCAAATAGTAGAGCAAGACCGACACGCAAGTTGTCAGACGACAGCGGAAGCACATGGCAGTTCAAAATTATTTAAAAAGTGCAGGCTAAACAAGAACGCTTGACTGAATTACGATCAGTGAAACTTTGTTCTGACGTAACAAAATTAAAGTCACGTTACGTTTACGTTCAAAAGCCAGTAACCCTCCAAAGGTGACTTTAAATCCTGAACTGATGGAGGATTGTGTGTTTGGTAGGATTGGAAGAGAATTGTCCAGCCTAGTTTGAAAGGAAATTGGAATGAGCTGATTTAGCCTGAAGTAACGGTTAATTTGGTCTTCTACTGCTTATAACTTGACCGCTTGAGTATAACAATCAAAGAAAATCGGCCTAAATTAGCAAACAGAAAATGAGTCGTGTTCTACTATGCAAGTCATACATAACTTGGAACAAATCAACGAAACTTGATTGAGAAATTTTGAGCCATCTACCGTATAGCTCAAACCCTGTACCCATGATGGCCATTTATTTCGGTATCTGTAAAACTCTCTTGATGAAAAATAATGACCAATTTAAGAGCCGCTGATAATCACTTGGCCAACTTTTTCGTCAATAAAGCACAGCAGTTTTATACCGATGGAACCGAGCTATCTAAAAAATGGCGAGATAATTTCAGTTATTTCAGTTTCAGTTATTCATATTAAGCAGTCAAGATGCATTAATTAATTAAGGTGCTGAACTAATCACCCACCCAGTTATAATTTTTCGATTATAACTATATTAATTTCGATATTAAAAAGAGGAAGTTTTTTGTGACGATAAAGTTATTTTTATATGACACCAGATGTTAGATTGGTTATGATGGACCATAATATTTGGTGTTACTGCCAACAGGTGCAGCTAGTTAATCTGCAAACAAATCTCTGTTGAGGTAATTAATAAGTATTAATAAGCAAGTACTCCGACTCCGACCAGGGTAAATTGTGCAGATTGAATTTCGAAATTAAGCTCGGCGACAAGAAGTTATGTCAATTCAAAACTCTGAAGACGGATAACTAGAGATATCCTTGTCAGCGGTGAAGCACAAAGGATGCACACATATAAACCTTCACATACCATATTTATCACACACGACCAAAATGGCCAAAATATGACATTTAATTGACTCCAGCGCAAATTTATCATCCGCTTACAAAAAAGCCAACGTCACAAAACCCATTAATAGATAATAAAATTCTCTAAATGTGTATTCTGACAGAAAGAATACATATTAGATTTCCTAAAAGGTTTTCTAAATTTTCGTGTTATTAAAAGTTGCATCACACCCAAATGAGACAAAATTCAAGCCAACCAGGACTTTAAGAAAATTGTGCAAATGTGTCAGGTCAAACAATTTACAGCGAGCGTCTCGGAATTTAGGCGATGTTACCGAAGCTAATTGAAAACAATGTTAAAAATAACGAAACACTAATTGCATGGACCCCTGGAGTAGAAAAAATGTTTAGGTATGCAAACAAGAACTAGTTCACCCTGCTATCCTAATGCAATCATCATCGAAAGCCAAATTATATTTATGTGTGGATGCCAGCAAATTTTGCATCGGAGTAACGCTACACGAGTTAAGAGGTAGTCAGAAAGACTCTTGCAATTTTTTATAAGCTCATGGCTGAAAGCCAACAACGTCAAAGCACTTACGACCTTGAACTATTGGCAGTGTTCCAATCTGTGAAACACTTCGAGCACTTCGAAAGCCGTAGTAACACCATATTGGTTGATATCATCCTCTACCATATACATATAAACGAAATTTTGAGAAGGCAACACCAAAACAATCACGGCGACTCAGTTTCATCAATAAATACATATTCATATGTTTATTTAACATTTAGCTGGCAAGGACAATATTGTGGCCGATACCCTCTCTAGTGTGGTAGCAATTGATGGGAAAGACCAAGTTAATTTGCTCAAGTTAGTAGAAAGACAGCAAAACGACGCCGATTTAGTACCATGCGGCAACATTACTTGTTTGAAACCAAAAATATAAAATTTGCAGCCACCAACAAAACATTATACTGCGATGTTCCTATCAATATGTTCGTATATTTCACAAGACTCTCGAGAACAAGTTATCAACTCTTTACACAATTTGTCATGCCAACGTGAAAATATGTTGAAAGTATAATTTAAGTATCAATTTTGCAATTTTTATTCAAAACACTTACTCTTCTTGTTTTTATAACCAAGCATTTACATGACTTTACAACATGTAGTTCTTTTCTCTTTGGTTTATATTAATTTCCAACATACATATTTGAGTTAAATAAGCTTAATGCATGACAAACAAAGATATAGAGAAATATAGTCAGAGAAAATATTTGAGTATTATCCTCGCACTTCTCTGGGAGAAAGTTCTAAAACTAATCAACAAAAATGTTTTTATATGTAGTTATTTTAAAGAATATGTTAAAAATTTTATCCAATAAATTACCAATTAAATTAAAGAATATGTTAAAAATTTTATCCAATAAATTACCTGTTATTATTATATAATTTCATTTAAATTGAGCTTTTATTACTATTTTCAGTTCATTGTCATCCTTCACTCAAATGTCGTCATCACTAGGTCAACAAAGGGAATTAACTCCGCCATCGCTATACCAGTGTCACATGTCATTGCGACCACCGACGCATCATAATATAGGAAATTCATTTGGAAACACTTCTTTATCAATTGGAAATAATAGTAATAATCAACACGTATATTATGGAAGTGGTAGTGATTCTATAAGTGGATACCCTTCGCATGTAATTGGAGAAAATATTTCAATGCCTAACCCAATAACCTGCAATGCTGATTTTAACCGTGAAACCTCAGCCGCTAATCAATTAATTAATTCAGGAACTAGTGATAACTTATCAAATTCATCGTATATTCAACTAGGATATAATTCTTCTGCATCTAGTACAGTTGCTGCATCCTCGATTAGTTCTAATAATGGCAACAGTGCGACGGGTAAACAGCAACAGTTCTTTGCATCTTGCTTTTACTCACCTTGGGTTTAAAAATCTAAAAACTTATGTACATCGGTTTATGACTAAACATTGAAAATTGTTTTATTTTACATAACATAATATGTTGTGAATAGTTATTATATATACATGTGTATATGTATTTGTTCATCTTATGATAAGATGTAATATAGTATATAAATAGATTTATATTTATAGTATCTAAGCTTAAATAAATGGAAGACATTACTTAATTTAAAAAATTTTATATTATTTTGTATCTTTCCAGTCGTTGTTACCTTTATTTTGTATTTATATTAAATAATTTGTTAAAAGTAAATTAGTTAAAAATTTTATTTCTGGAATAAAATTATATCGATTATAAATCAATATGATATACAACATATAAATAAATTAGTTATGCTGTAATATGTAAGTATAGTTGTTACTGCTAATAACATATATATGAAATGCATAGATATATAATTATTATATATTGTTGCGTAGAAAAGAAATGGATATATTATTTGATTGGTATAATGATAGCAAAAAATAATACCTGTTTTAGGTGTTCTGCATGTAATTTATTTTGAATTTTCAAGAACAACGTGGTCTATGTTTGGCGTTCGCTCATTAAGGGTGTAAAACTACTCTAACAACTAATTTTACAGTCGTAATTTAAACCTCAATACTGACTTAAGTATGATTTAAACCACAAAGTTGATAACTTAAGTCCCTTACTGCCGACTATGAAATTAGTCGTGAAGGTACTCACGAAATCCATGAAATTTAAGCAACTCAAATATATAGTATTTCAATTTCAATAAGAGGCTGAGCTTAAATTTTCATCGCTTAAATCACATATAAAATTTTTGATTGAAATCAATTTCCATTTTTATGTAAAAATAATTCAGAAAGAAATGTAAAAAAAAATATTTATTGGAAAACTAATTACGTTTAATTTTAAAAAAAAAAAAATTATTTATTTCCTACAAATATTACAAAAAAAAATATACCCATCGACAAATCAAAAAATATTTGTCGCTGTGTGGATGAATAAAAAGCATGCACAGAGCCCTTGAACTATGCATGCATATTATGACCGACGTAATTGACTGAATATTCAAAAAACACGATCAAACCCCTTAAGTGATGGCTCTTTTCGAATAAAATTGGCACTCGAACGCGTTGGTTCATATGCTGCCCATCCCAGTTTTATGAGAATGGCAATTGGATCAAGTGGGCCGGCATACACTATTGCACATTAAACATTTGTGTTGGCCCAATTTATCACAGTAGCATTAATGGGCGCACATTCTCTAATTCTACAATAGACAACCACTTAAAATTACATCCAATTTTTGGTCACACTTTCTTACCAGTGACTTTACCAGTGCAGCTGTAAGAGTTGTTTTTTACCAATAACACCTAGTTGAAACTCAATAATCTAGCATGGAGATTGACGACTTTTCATCCAATAGCCGAAAAATCCTAAGCTAACCTTTTAAATTCATTATATTAATCAACACCAATTTAAATAGGAAACTCGAATATAGCACAACTTAAAACTTGCAGAGCTGCTTTAGGCTTAGATCGCAATTATTGTTAAGGTTCACGTAAAAACCTATTATGGTTTCTACGGCAACCAATAACACTGAATGACTTTCTTAATTGGCTATGGATGGCTTTCTGCATTTTACGCAGGCATGAAAAAATCAGTACTGCTTTACTTTTCCCAACGTCTCTCAGGCCACTTTTTTGTTCAGTTTCAACAGTTTGCGCCTGTATAACGCAGCGTGACTGGTTTTAGCTAATGTGACAATAGGTAAATTATTTTCGCAATTTGACTCAATCAGTACATTCTTTTATTTTAGGGTAGGCATAAAATGTCCATTCAAACTATTTAATATGCAGCAAATTATGAACCAGTTGTTCCAACAATGTTGGGTTGCTTATATGATGCTCACAATTGACCCATGACACAAAGGCGACGATATATCGCATAAGAGATGTCAAGCGAATTAAATTATCAATATTTTTCTTGTTCACTTTATTCACGTCATACACCTTATTTATGTATTTTTTTATTTATTTTCACTAGCAAATCTGGGTGACCATATCAAAATTCAAATTCTATAAGAGCACATTAGATGGATATATTAGTAATGACTAGACGTCTCCCTTGACTTCTTCCATTAGATATTTCTGTAAGTGCAATTAATTAAACGCACCGCAGACTCTTCTACTTTTCGTCATCTTTTATTTTATTCAATACAGATTTATTGTTAGTAAAGTGGTCAAGTCGATTTGTTACGACTTGAGGATTTGGAATCAGCATTACGTTCCTAGATTAGATTCTATACATAAGAAAGAACAAATCATGCAACAAATAATGCCTCTATAAACAGAATAGTATTGAAATTTAACAATTGAAAATAAAATTATAATTAATTAATAAATTCAATTATTCTACAGCTGGTTTATGATTTCGTCCTAATATAAACACAGCAAGTAAAATTGTTAATAAAAACTTTCATAGTAATAGTAACAAAACTCCAGAAAAATATGCGAACAAAAATGTCAAGTACGGTTTTGGATCAGTTGGTTAAGGTGCGCCGATTCTGAGCTTCACCTTTGGCATAACCCGAGTTAGAATCCTGGTATTTGCAGTCTCAAAAATAATTATTTATGAATAATTAAATACAAAACTCGAAACAGCTGTATGGTCAGCCAAAAATTCAATTAAATAAAATAATATAAAAAAAATAAAATTTATATAATTTAAAAAAAATAATGTAAAATAATATAATATAAAAAAAAAAAATCTCTTTATTTAGATTTTATTTTATATTTGATACATCATTTTCAATTTGTAGCAGTCATTCTTTTCTTTGAATAGTTTATTAAAAGTATTATCTTTTAAAAAAGTGTGATTTTTAACCTTATTCAATTCCAAATTAAAATTTTCATATATAGGCATTCATTAAATATATTTCTTTATATACATTCTTCTTTTTGCTAAACAAATGGGTTAAAATAAAATTTTTCATATTTCAAATTTTAAATCTAATTAATAAATTCCTTTTATTTCTTTGGATAATATACAATATCATGGAATGGCGTCTCTTTCATTTATGTTCATGAATATTATCTTTTGTGATCCGATGCGTTCACAGGTTCGATTTATGTATCAATTGCTCGTCATTCTAGTCTTCCAATTAATTTTTAAAAACTATTTTTAAGAAAATTTATTGCATACATCATTGCAGATCTTGGTTATAATTTGCGAAGTCACTAGAGAAAATCTGATAAAATTTATCCGACAAAATATGCTAAAAGTTGTCTAAATATAAGGATGCTGTATGATGACACCACAGCACACTTTGCTGGCGGAAGAGAAATGACAACACTACGAAGTTAATATGGTTAATGCAGCTCTGTACTAACTTGCTTAGGAGCTACGCTGAAAAATTTACCATTTTCTGATTGCATTTAGTCACTACAACGACGCGGTCGCCAACATCTTTACCGAGTTTTATTGCCTCTTCCGTAAGAATATACATTCATAGGAGCCTATTTCGTATGTCCATTAGCGCAGAGCATTCTAACAGCACATATGTGACCGACTTCTCAATCTCTTCACAGAATCTACAGTTTGCATCTGTATGTATACCCTGTCTTGTAAGATTGTGTTTTAGTCTACAGTGCCCTGTTGGGATTACTGTGATGTTTCTAAGTTTTTCATTTGATAGGTTTATACAATCCTGATATCTCTAATAGTTATAGGTACCAATAAGTGATTTAGATTATTTTAGTCCTAGTATATTATCCCAGTAATCCCTATTATTCTGGTTTTTCTTTATTTTTATAAGAGAAAGAAGCACAAAAAGATTCCAATACAGTGAGCTCCGGTGTGGTTGCTACTTTCCTGGTTAGTTTGTCCACGTATTCATTTCCGAATACGCCAGTATGTCTCGGTACCCAAAAAATCGACACCTGATTTGATTCGCCAAGCAGATTTAGCTTAACAAGGTAGTCTACCACCAGTCTTGGGGTCATCTCATCCGAGTTCAGTGCCTTGATCGCCGCTTGGGTATCTGTCAGTATTGCAATATTTTTACTCTGGTAATTCCGTTTAATATTGATAAGTACGCATTTTTAAATTGCGTAAATTTCTGCTTGGACGATGCTTGTATTTTTTCTCAGCGCTTACCAGCTTCTTGGCTGGTCCAACTATGCCCAGCTCGGCACCTTCCTTCGTAATAAAACTGAACTTAGGATTCATCGTGTTCCGAACGCTGCTTGGCAAGATTTTCGAACTTCTTTCCATTGAGCCAGCTATCCGTTGTATTTCCTTTATTCATTCCTAGAACTGCCCTTTCCGATTGGGACCTGATGTATATCGGCATAAATGATGTATATCGGTATATATGATGTATATCGGTATATGTGATGTATATCCCTTATATATATGCATGCCAGTCTTTAAGTGTTATTCTGTTGTCTGGATCCATTTTCCCAGATGAGTGCTCCATATGAGATGATAGGTCTGATGATCGCCGAATGGACCCATTGCAGTATTTTTGGTGTACAGCCCCAACTTTTGCCTGCTGTGGGTCTACAGGTCATAAGAGCCCTAGTGGCTTTCTTCGTGATCTCCTCAATGTGGTGTTTCCAGTTGAGTTTTTTGTCGAGATGTATGCCTTAGAACTTAACCGTTTTCTTGATTTCTACCTCAATTCCATCGATTCTGATAGATTTCAGATGTTTCAGATGTATTTCCAAACTTTCATCCACCGATATGCTCGACACATGAGTGGTGAGAGTGTCTCACCTTGTGGACATTCTCGTGTGGTATTCATCCTCATTAGACCCGAACAAGTGCTTATTTCTACCTTTTTAGTTCGAAGCATCCACCGTGCCAAAGTAGAATTTATTCCTCTGTTTATTAGTGATCTCCTTATAACGTCATATTAAGTTTTGTCAAAGGCATCTTCTATATCTAGAAATGTACATATTACTGTTTCCTTCTTCTTAATACTATTCCCTATTATGTTCATCAACTCAAACAATGCGGTTTCAGTGGATCTCCCCGCC